TCCTATTCCCACTTGGGGAAGTTGAATGATGTTCACAGTGAGTATGGACTCTTGTGTTCACCATCTTCATTGAGAGGTATCAATGAGTTGGATGTAGCTATTCCCAGGAGTCTTCTTGTAGGTGCTGTGTGGCTTGTTTGAGATCATTATCCTTGTTGTAACATCAAATTTTGAGATTGCAGTGTACTCTGCCCCTGTATAACCATTCTGTTGTAGTGTCAAAAAGGCAATAGGACTGAGTTTTGCGGCTGCCCACTCTGTCTGGCACGTTCTTAAAAGGTACTTTTCAATAATTGAATCATTGCAAAAGCGGTGTGATCTTTATCGATCATGGCTTGGAAGAAGCTGTGTCTGGAATTGTGCTGAAGTAATGACTCACCCTGCCATTCTGTTGATGGAAAAGAAGGTCAGCTGATGGTTTGTAGGTTGAATGTTGGGATGGAACATGGAGACAATCTTTCTGATGACTGGACAAAATTTCTACCAAAACAAGTTGACACCTGACAATGCCTGGTTAAGGTAATTTGGATGACTGAAACAGATCTGTCCCACAGCTTGTCCGTATATGGTGAAGACTTTGTTGAAATCTGCCTAACAGTGGTTTGGAAATTTTCCAAGAAAACTAAATAAAGTTCAAAATCTGCCTTGCAGTGGCTTGAAAACTTTCCAAAAAAAAGAAAAAAAGATTCACGTCATGGGATGCACTGGCCTTCCAGTGCCCTGTGACTGGAGGCTGTGAGGGGTTTCAAGTTTAAATTTCTTTTGGTTTTTTCAAAAAAAAATTGGTCAAGTTTCATACAACACCATAAATTTTTGAACTTGACTGTTTGTAAATAGGGCGGTTCAAGACAAGAAACACGAGCTACATGGTCTCTTGGTTGCAATCAGTCTTTTTAGGGTTGTGTTACGATCCTCAAGAGACATGTAACTGTTAGTGAAATACCGGGTAGTAGATGTCACAGACACGAGATTAGACTATGTTGTACAAACCACAGTTGTCTTTTCTCTTTCTTCTTCATACGACAATCTGCATAGCTTATTAGACACCCAACCTTGATCCCCGCCGAGAACCCCACACCGAGGCCTTAACATATTGTCGTATCTACAACAAGCGGGCATCAACAGATCAGAAGAACTAGAATCAGAAACTTTAAGAATTGAAATTGAACTCGAATAAGATTAGAAACAACAAGAAGGATAGATTAGATCATATTTAGAAAATCATTGAACTGAAACTTTATACTTGATATTGAACGCACCACTGAAGATTAACACCGAACTACCTCCGCAGAACTCTATCGATCACCATCTTTGTACAGATTTTTTGTTAATGAAAGAGGAAAACCTAGAGAAAAAAGGTTCTTTTTTGACCAAAAATTGTTAGAATCCAGGAACAAAAAAGAACAAAGAATGAATTTTTTTTTGGCTCGATTGTCCTTGTCTTTTGAAAATTCAGGGACATGATTTAAAAATTTTGAGGATGATTACAAGATCACATGTGGTCCAACTCTCAAGGTGATTCATGACCTTAAAATTTTACTTGAAATTTAAAGAGCCCAAACAAAATGTAAAATATAAAAAAGGGCTGTAGAAGCCCTTCTTGAACCGCCCCAATATAGAAAGTATGTTGTATGATGATGGTCATAAAATGAAACTTGACTGTTTCAACTACCCAAGCTCTTTATAACTCAACCTTGTAACAAAACCTTGCTTATTGACCAAGCAAATCAATCCCAATCCATGCCCACCTGACCATTTCAAAAGTCTTGAAACCCATTCAAAACTCATTTTCCAGATGGTTTGAACCTCACAAAGAAAAAAAACTAACAAAACTAACAAAGAAGATAACTGCAATCAAATTATCAAAGAATAAATGATTTTTGAACATATTGTTTCAACATCATATAGTTGTTTGGGGTTTCTCATTGTTGTAAATATGTGTAAAATCACTGCTCATCAAAATTTGGGATTTCTTTTTTGTGGTCAAAGCTGCAAAATTGCTTGACTTGAGCTCTCATATTTTACAACAACACACAAGTTGTTGTAGCATAAATATATGTAAAAAAAATCAATTTGAAATCCCCTTAATTCAAACAGTTCTACTGCCTTGGCTTACCAAGATGATACACCTCAGTGCCTTACATACACACTCACTACTGCAGCTGATATCCGCTGTGTCTTTGATGCTACTCATGGCAAGATCTTGCCAAGCCTGAAGATAATATGCTTCATATCAAGATCTAGAAGACTTTGTAATTTCTTAGCTTCATGTATCAAAAAAAGTTACATAGCATCTGTACAGCAAGATTTAGTTGGTCAGCGCCAGAGAATTAAAAAAAAACTATAGATTTTTTTCATGTCTACCATACTTTCTTGTTTCCACAAACAATTTTTTTTTCTCAACTTTTTTCTCCAATATTTCTGGTTCTTCCAGATTCCAAGATTCTTGCAACACCCAAATTTGAAGTTTTAGATATTTGTTGGCTACCTGGACTCAAATTGGGCAAAATTGTGAGCTTTTTATAAGGAAATATATGTTATTAAATTAGAGTCAAAATGTGATTTTGAGCCAAAACTGGCAAATATACTTGGAACCAAAATGGCCATCAAATCGAGTTTTGACACAGTTGAACTCTATAGGGACAATCCGGGATCCTATTCCTATTCTATGACATTTCAAATCCTGGTACTTGTTCAAAGGAAATGTACAAAACACAAAATGATTCACGTGATTCAAGCGGAAAACCAGAACATCAAGGGAAAAGTCGGGATCAAATCCTCCACGACACGAAGCTTGAAAATATTTCACGTGTTGAAAGTTAAGATGAGACAACTCTGTAGGAGGCTATGCAAGGGAACGCAGTGTATCGCGTTCTATGTCTTGATGACAGGAAAGAGTCGAAACGGTCTCTGAACCCATATGGAACCATCCGATGAAATACAACATCAATTGACATTATTTCAAAAACTCATACTTATGAAGAATGCCAATAATGTACGTGTCAAACATCTTCATGAAAGAAAATCAGTGAAAAAAAACATGTTACTGATATACATAATTGGTCTGAAAATTGTTCGAAAGAAATCAAGAACTAAGACAAGTTGCCATACTTTAAAAAAAACCATTATAAAGGTATCAATCAATGATTTTTTTTGCTAAAATTACATCGGATAAATCCGTATGAGCTTTCCAAATTCCTCCTTGTGATTCATGAATCAAATCAAATACAAATCACAGAACAAATCATCAAGTTGTCTTACAAGATTAAATTCTCCACAATCCGAAACTTCAAAAAAACTTGTCCACATGATCATACGCGCTGTGACAAAGGCAATGTCATGGAACTCTGCATCATGTTCCATGGCTTGATGATGCTAAGGAAGAGGCAAAAAGAAACAGCTATTCAGCTGGTCTTCAACAAGTATAAAAGGCCGCTTGGTTTGCTAGACCACTTGTTCGTTATCCAAACATTCTTATCAATTTGTTCGCCTACCGTGCACAATTGTATTGGTATGTTTTCTCATAATCTTCATCAGTCAATCATATATTGTATGTAGAATTATCTTGAGCTTACCTTTATGGTCAACCTCTTTACCATGTTGATTGATTTAGATACCATTGGTTTTCATCAAATCAAAGCCCACATCCAACCATTCTAATCTCGTCACGTTAACTTCTTGGTGAGTCTCGAGATCAGATTCTATGGATCCGTCTCACCATTTTCCATAACTAATGATTTGTCTTCCAATTAGATCTCTCATCATGAATCTCAGCATCATCTCAGCCGTACTGATGGTCTCCATCTTCTGCAATCAAGCCTTCGCTTCAATGATTTCACATGAAACAAACCTTGCCTCAGACCAAGACGCTTTGGCCGAGTGTCTTACCTGTTCATGTGGAAATGCTGGCTCATGCTGTTCATCGTGTCGCCCACCCCCATCCGTAAACCGTGGAGGTTAGGTGTGATTCTAGGTCTAGGATCTGTGGTGTAAAAGTCCATGTAAACCGGGCTCATGTTCATCATGGTATTAGAGAAGAAATTTCAGCTCTATTCAGTCAATCCACTTTATCTCCGGTAAATTAATTTCGCCAGCAGATGATTTGTTCTTTTTGATGATGTTGTAAAGTTCAAATCTACTATATTATCACCACCACTTCATCCTTATCCTTTGATCAAAAAGCTTTAGTATGTAAAGTCATAAAAATCCACAAATGTTTCATAACACTCAATAGGCGATGTTTTCATCCTTGAACTGTTGAGAAAATATAACACAGTCATCATACCGTCCAAGAGTTCCATTTCTTACCTTTTATATCCCAGTTTTTGATGTGAATGAGAATGTGAACTAAGTGTGTGTGCTGATCAATGAGCTGAAACCCACTTCAATATGAAATTCTCATGGAATTTTTGTAAGCTATGCTACTTCTCCAGTTTCCATTCAATGACTACCCCAAAGCTGCCACATGAGCCTTGGAATTGACATCCATAGGCCTAGTGGTAATACAGCAATTATCCCAAAATCAATAAAGTCTTGGGACATATGGTTGAATTACTAAAAGTTCTTGTAATTCCAAAAAAAAAATCATTAAATCAAAACGCATACATTCAAAGAAATTCAAAAAATCTAATCTAAAATCCAATATAGATTTTTTGAAAAAAAATATGCAATTATTGTATTAAAATAAAAAAAAAGAGAGAGAAAACCATGCAGGACAGAAAAAAAAACAGAGTATATAAAAAAAATCTAAAATTCATACAACTTGAGGGGTTTTCTTCTTCTTCAAAAGTATACACAAATCATCCAATTTCGATAAAAAAAAAAGTTCATTAATGACAAAAGGTTGGGTTCAGATGATGGTGTTCAAAGGAAAAGAAGAAAGGTAGAAACGATTAAAAAAGAAAAGTAGAAAAATTAAGGTATAAATCAATTTATCTCAATTCTCAAACCAACAAGATGATCATGATCATCACAACAAAAACCACCAAAGCATCACAAGATCAAAACCTAATCCTACTCTGTAAAACACGATGATGATGATCACCACTAACACCACCAGCACCACCAATCGGATCTTCATCATTCTCAAGATTCCTACGATCATCTTCATGATGTGGTGAATCGAGCCTAGAATTAATTTGATGAAGTCCAGACCATCTATGAAAAAAAAACCAATCCAAAAACCAAAATCAGTCTTAAAGAAAAACAATCAAGTTGGAAACTGATCATGTCTTACAATTTAGATGCATTTCCTTTACTCTTGACTTGTTCTTCTAAAGCTTTAGCCAACTAGAAAAAAATCCATCAAAAAACAATTCAAATTCAACAAACCATTCGAATGAGTAAAATCAGATCGAAAACCATTCAAGCTTCATACCTTTCTAGCTTCACCTGTATCTTTCCTAGCAGCAATCGAACTAGCTGGAGGTCTTTCTGTGATCCGTTCATGTTTTCTTAAATTATCTAATGAATTACATCTCAGTAAGCTTTGTTCGATTTGGGGTTGGGTTGGTTGACCGGTTTGAGGTAAAGCTGATTTTCTTCTTTCTTTGACTCTTTCTTTATGTTCTCTAAAAACACAAAAAACAATCCCATAATGATAATAAGTAAACCAATCGATCTTGGGTTCGTTCAAGAAAGTAAACACTTACTCTGTTGCTCGCTTGATATGATGATCCCTTTGAAACTGAATCTTTTTATAAAGCTTCATAAATCTAAATCCGAAAAAAAAACCAAAAATCTAAGAACCCAAACATGCCAAAGCTACCAATAAAAAACAAAAACAAAACCTCTTTCACTCAACTTATGATCCCAAATCTCTTTTCCTTCTGCCCATCGTCTAACAGGTCCTTCTTGAATGACTCCAATCGATTCAGAATCCAACTTTAATGCCTTCAAATCGGTTTCATCTTCCAACTTTCGAATCTTTCCATTCACATCTACTCTTTCTCTAATCATATGATCATCAAAGTCAGGTCGATTGAATGGTAATGCAGAATGATAAATCGTTTCTTCTAATTCTTTTAAAAGTTCAACCGTTAATTTCGCTTTCCGTTCTTTTCCTTCATCGTTCATCACATTACTTGAAATCGAACTATGAATCGATTGCACTTCTGAATTCACTCCGCTATGTCCTACACTCGATCGATGTGTGTCATGAGACCCTCCCGTGATTCTTCCCCAGGTGGATGGCGCTTGTCCTTCAGGAGAGGTCGATAAAGATGCACAAGCATTTGCTGAGGAACTTGCTTCAGCGCCAGGAATCATAAGAGTTAAGGACCCCGTTGGTTTCTCAGATTTGAGTTCTGATGGTTGGGCTTCAGGTGTATCAGATTGCATTGAAACCACCACGGTAGGTGAGAAAGTAGGGTGAGCCGAAGCTGATGAAACGCCAGCGTCTCTAGAACTGGAAGCAGGATGAGGATTCGAGTGATGTGCAGTTGAAGGGTTTGCCGAAGGCGCAATCCCATCGATAGATGAATGAGGAGAACGAGCAGATGACAAGCTGAGATCGGCCTTGGCATCACTCGTTACAAATTTACAAAATGAAGCGATCGCTCTATAGCAGTACTTGGCAGGTCGAGCAAATGAGAACATTGGTAAAACTGAAAATCAAGGACAATCTAATGAGTTCGTCGATATGGTGAGGTGAAACAATAAAATGCGCAAGACTGACCATGGCACATATCATCTATTAGATCCAGTTCAAGGTTCAAGCAAGAGAAAGACCATGAGAAATTCAATTATACCAATTAGGCAAGAAAAACTGTCAAGACTGACCATACACTTGTAAGTGAACTTTCGTAGGTGGGTAAAGAGCTGCTTTCGCCTTTCTATCAGGATGAGCATTCAACAAGCCGTCTCGTAACGGATATTGATCCGGGCGCGCAGCCCGATGAGCAACCTAGAAAATCAAGACACAATTAAAAACCTCCAAAGATACTTGGCTCGTCAATGAGAAAAGTCAAAAACTCACATAGATGATTTCGTCACGCAAAACTTCATTGTCACCAGCAATCTAAAGAAACCGAGAACATGGTTCAGTGAGTGATTCATTTAGCTGATTCACGTTGAAGAGGATCAACAAACAATGAACAATGGTGGTAAGCCACCCAAACTTGGCGCAAGAGCAGGTGAGCAGTAAGGATGAGTAACCATATCATTCGGAGCGTATCTAAATAAAGTTTTTTTCATTAGATTTTCTTTATCAACTTGATCAAAATTCGAATGATGCAAAAGGGAAAAGTTGACAAACAATTGAATTTGTTGATCGATTTCAATCTTCTTTCCATCTATATGGACTACAGGATACTTTTCACCTTTGCCTTTTTGTGTTGAACTCTTGAGGTCTTCAAAAGTGGTCAGTTTGTAAGGATTGACATATGTGTTATCTGGAGAGGGTAAAGGATGAGAGTGGGGTTCTGGTGATGAGACATCAGTTGATGTTGTGGGGTCTTGAGGTGTAATGATTTCAGGCACTTTGGTTTTATTACCCTTGGACATTGATCGAAACATTGAGAATCGTCTATCAAGGTTAGTTGGGGGCTTGGTGACTTCAGGTTGAATATTTGAAGTTGAGGCTTGAGGTTCAGTTGCTGAATTATCTTCATCGGGTGATGGTGGAGGCCATAAGATACTCGGTTGGTGCATGAATCCATAAGGTGCTAGAACGGTATTGCGGATCAAGAGGAAAAGTTCAAAACACAATTGGCACAAGATGGTAATAGTAACTTACGTATGATGTCGGTCTTGGTATTCTCCATGACCGAAGGAAAAGAATGAGTCAAGTCTACCCAAGGGGAAATCAAGACAGCACCAGCCGGTGCCGGTAGACCACAATCTCTAATTAATGTAAGTAAAGCAAGACTAAGGCCACCTCCGGCCGAATCACCGGCAATAATCAACTTGGAAGGATCCACTGGTCTGTGCCTGTGTAAATGAAAAAGAAATCAATGGAAATCGAAATGTGCCGATACCTTAGGCTGATTGACTTACTTTGCTTCTGGAGGAGGTCTGATTAGGTAAAGATATGCAGCCAGGCAATCTACTAAAGCACAAGGGAATGGGTACTGTGGAGCCAATCGATAATTAACTGCAAAAGCGCGACCACCCATTTTACGCGCATACCGCCAGATGGAATATCTAAAGAAGTCAAAGTTTGTTGAGTTTCAATCAAATTGATAGAAAAAGGAAAGATTTAAGCTCACCTGTGTGTATTGACACTGCCAAAGTAATACGCTGATCACAGAAGAATCTCGTCAATAAGATATAAGATGAAATAGATATCAAGTCTTGTAGAGCTACTGACCACCTCCGTGTATATAGAGCATACACCTCATCGTATCCATATCTTCTTCATAAGTGGCGTTTTCGAAATCATCATTTGGAGTAGAACTATGATTAGGAGGAGGAGTCTCTTCTGGTGTCTGTCCTGGAGAATTGACAGGATTAGGTGGAGATGGATTGTCGTTGGGGTTGGCGTTTGGACCCAAGATAGGCTCTACTGGTGAGGGTGAATTAGCTGATGAATTACCTTTCTTGATTCGATGAGATATGCTCCGAAGTCGAGACAAGACAGATGGGAATTTGTGTTGAAGTGCATCATGGTTTGAGTTGGGATCTGAGCCATGATCAGAACTGTGAGTCAAGTCGGATTCTGGGTTGGAAACCGCGGATTGAGGAGATGAACGAATTTGTTGAAAGACAGACATTCGTTTCTGTTTACTTTTTGCTTTGGGATGAGGTGAAAGATTACGATCTTCGGTATGATCTTCATGATCAGGATGACTTGAGTTGATTGCAGCATGAGAGGATGATGATGATGAAGCTGCTCTTGGCTTGACTCGATTCCAATCGGATTTCATAGCGATCCATTCAGCTTCAACACCACCGTCCTTTGAACTTCTTCTCTGCCACCAAAGTTGACCACCAATGACATGTTGTAGCTCATCTGGACCCAACGCGTCGATAAGATATTGAGCAGCATCCGAACAAGTAGATGAAGGAATCGAAACTCGAATCACTCTCACACTCCAAGGAGCAGGTACAAAAGCATTACCGAGTCGCTAAAAGATAGGATCAAGATCAGAATCATCTTCAAAGTGTATTTTGGTGACAAGTAAGAGTTCTAACCTGTACATCCTCCACAGTATAATGTGAAGCCTTTTCAGCTACAAATTTAGCAAGAGCAAAGGCTTCATCAAAACTCAATTCATCACGAGCCTTTGGATCTTGACTGTTAGGTTTGAATGGGTAATAATGCTTGGCAAAAGTTGAGAGGATAGTGGGAAGAGCCATATAAGCTACTGTGAAGCCATTGAGAGGTAAGATTGGTGGACGACCCATGTTGAGATATTTTGAGGATATGAAGTTGAAAAGTGATTATTTGAAAATGAAGCAGTTTAAGTTGAGGTGAGTTTGGTGGAGATGATGATATAATAAAATGTATATTTAAATGAGGCTTGAAAGTGACGATGATTGTAATCTAATTCAGTTTAAATAGGTAAGCGATCCATGCTGATTCAAGTTTGGACTGATCTGAATCTGTCGATATGAAGCTGAAATCCAAATTAATCTCATTTTACTCTCTTCACCGTAAGAATTCACTACTCGGTTGGAGTTAACCCTGATTCACTTCAAACAAATCATCTTTTCACTGGTAATGGTTTGATTTGGTGATCCAATTGAGAAGAAAAGCTTGAAGGGCTCATGCTGAGGTTTAATTTAAATTGCCATCAAAGTGTTTTCTCATTCGATTTCAATTTGTAAAAAGCTGTTGACCGATTCGAGTGAACAATAACATTCAAATGAGAATCATGATCAAAATTGGTTTTTACTAAATACCACTATGTATAAAACCTTTTGAAAACCATAAGCCATAAACAACCTATCAAAACCCATCAATCAAACCACTTCAAACCCATCATTCAACCATTTCACTCTTCACTCTGGCATTCTGACAAAACAATCAAACCAAGATCATCAAGTCAATGATATAACAAAGATGAAAGATACCACATTAGCTAAAAAGATATCATCTAATCAATCTAATAGAAATCAAAATCAAACTAAAAAAAATAAAAAAATTAAATTAATTCATGATTCACTTCAATCTCATCAAATCCAACTAAACTCTGAGTCTCAACCTCATCCTCAACCTCAACCTCCACTAGAATGTACATCTGATTGGTATGTAATTCAAGATCATCTCATACCATTACATTCCCATCTCATCGTCTAATCTTCATCAAATCATATCACATCAAATCTCAAATCAAAAAGGCCAAACTTCGATCCCAAAAAATCAACTTTACTTTTAACAAACTTAATCAAGATTTTCAAAACTGAACTCATCAAGAACCAAAACTTAATCTCAAGCCCACACCTACGTTCAACCAAACCTCAAAAAACTTCTTTCAAATCAAATCTTCAAATCAAGTCTTTAAGAAAATTAAATTCATCGGTTTTGAATGGGTTGGTTTTGGGAATCAATTCGGTCAATCAAAAACTAAACTTGATTCATAACCAAACGTAAGATTCTTGTTCATTCTTCTTTTACACATTCAAAAACCTCATCGTTCAAAGTATCTTAACTCAATGAGAACTCTAATGTTTTGTTTGTGTAAAAGGAATTCTGGTTTAGATCTTAATCCGAACATAAAGATTTCTTTAATTTTGATATGTAAATCAGATCTAGTTTCATCTAATTTAATCTCTCATTTACCTTTCATGATTCATTCTATCAATTCTCAATTCTCAAAACCCCAAGAAATGAAGATTGAATTGATTGAATTACCTATTGGTTCAAGTTTGATTTTAAGTGAATTGATTGGGATTAAATCTTGTACTGCTTTAGCTATCTTAGTAAGCTCTTTCTTTTGGTTTCTTTACACTTCTCTTCTTTTTGAGTATCACTTATAGGTTTTGGTTTGGATGTTTGTAGGATCATATGCCTGGTTTGGATACTTTGTTGAAGGTCTTATGACCCGAAGCTATCTAAGAAATCATACAATTCAATTCGATTTGGATGGGTTTTTGGTTGGATTGTTAAATCGGATTGATTCCCTTTAATTTGTAACACTAAATAACATAACACAATGATCAAACTCTCGTTGTCATAAAGAACAACCCTAATTGGTTGTCTACTTTAATACCTTCCCTATCTTTGGTTTCTTTTCATATTTCGTTGATTTAACCTTTAATACATCTCTTCCATACCCGATTACTTTTTTTTTAAACTTTTATTATGATTGAGATTTGAGGTTCTAGAATCTTAGAAGAAATCGAATTAGGTTTGCATAGGAGTAGGACCCGTTCCAGAAGCAGTAGTCTTAGTTTTCTCTAATTCAGCTCTGATTACCAAAAAAAAAAACAGAAAATCAAAAAATCAGCATAAGATCAAGTTTGGTTGTAACTTGATTGAGAAAAGAAAACAAAAAAGGAAACATTCATTGATGAGATAAATGAAAAAAAAAGATTCCATAAAACGAACCTAAGTTGATGAGCAAAATCAGATTCTAAAACTTCATCATCCCAATTATCTTCCCAAAGATCTTCCATGGTAGTAGATTGATTTAAAGTTTTATTGGATTTCGAATTCATAATCAAATGTGAAATATCAGATTTATCTTCTGTCCAATCTAAACAAACCAAAAACCAAAAAAAAAACCAAAAAAAATCAAATCAGTTTCAAGTTTTTCAATCCATTTTTTTGGGGACTTGAGGGCTTGTTTACTTTCGATTGGGAAATCTTCAAATTCATCGTCTTCCCCTAAGGTGTCTAGAGTTGATAAACTTTTGCTTTCGTTGTTGGTTAAAGAACTTGGGTTTACGCTTTGGTTTGTGCTTGGTTTGGGGTTTGTGGTTGTTGAACTTGACATTGTTTTGGATGAGATTTGATTGGTTGGTCTTGATGTCGTGATTCAAGTTGGTGTCAATCTCATTCTCTGTCTGACGTAAGTGATAAAGTCATCCAAAACTACTCGAGAGATCGGATACTTACTCGGTACTGAGTTGGGTTACCGCACTCGGGGTATCACATACATAGCAGATGATCAAGAAATGTTCATTCAGCTTCAAACTATGGTTCAAACTCCGAACTTCCTGCGTATATAAGTCCACCTCCTCTTCATTGACACCGTGATTGAGCGAAGTCGCGGTGACTAGGTCCGCCACTTTATTTATCTATTTATTTCATTGCTTCAAGTGCTTTTGCTACCAAGCACTGCATATGATTTCCAGCACATGCAAAACCTCTCTGGCTGTGTCAGCGGATAGGGTTACTGTTGGATGTTTCATGTTGTTTTATAATGGGAATGTGGCACTAAAGCATGATGGTTTAGGAGAGAAAATTCTTCTTCTGGTTGTTGCCTGTTTTCAGGCTTGGTTACATTTGTGATTCTTGCCTATACCCAATGGCTTTCCAGCTGCCATGTGTTGTTGTAGTACATTGCAGATGAACCGGCCTTTGGGAGAACACTGGCAGCCGCCGCCTGGCACTGGCACTGGCACTGTCAGTCTGTGTTAGCCCATAAAAGTATGGGCTCCAATGCCTTTCCCGCGCACATCAATGTAGCATGTCGACCCTCGTGATATACACGTAATTTCTATGCGGTCCGCCCTTTCACGTACCACCCAGCCCCTCACACCTCAATAGGTGTGACCCTATTGTCCAGATCCCCTATCGTCGTATCGTACTTACGCCAACAATCAACCAACATGCTACTCATGCATTTCATCAACCGACTGGCCCAAGATCATCCAGAACTTCACGCCACCCTCACTCTTCAAGACCTCATTCACTTTTCAGTTTTGGCCGCCGAAGTCCAGACCCTATCAAATGGTACGTGGATCTCCCGGAACGACAGCGAATCGGTTGTCCCTTTCCTCCGGAATGTGCTGGGTATACGACTACCACCATCTGGCTGCTATGACCTCTGGAACGTTCTATCGCCCACCATCGACCAATACCGAGTACAACCTACCTTGTTGATCCAAAAACACGGACACCGTCCCGAACACCTACCTGTTCAGATTGCGGAATCCACCCTTGTCTCTCCTCTGAAGAACTGCGTCCGCTGCAAGACTCACCCCAGACTTCATCACCGCTTGCGGCTAGACGGATACCTTTACGATCTGGACGGTGTTCACACCGTTGGAATTGTGACGTTGAAGTGTCCACGTCAGCATTTCCAGCTTTCACCGTCCATACAATACATTCCTAATACATGCTTCCACCTCCACCCACATCAGAATGCCCAACGTATTATCGTCCCACCTACTACTCGCACAAAGGCATTCGCACGTATTACTTGGCTCGCAACAGACCCCCCCGGGATGCGTTCCAAATAAGTTGTCACTTCTTCATGACACACCGCCTCGCCAACTTTTTCCGTCAAGGATTGATGCTTGCTCAGTGAGTAGATATTGAACCGTGCCATACGTCAATCAGTCGCACAATCGCACTGATCCTGTTTTTTTGCGCACAAAGCATTTCCAATTTTAACCTTGTCAACTTGTACAACTCTGTACACGTTGACGACGTAAACCTCCCAGCCCTTCATGCAGCACCTACGGTCCTCCCCGCATTATCAGAAATCACTTGCCGCGATGGTTCCGAACTCCATGCGTTATTACTAAAAGCCGACGCTGCCTACGGCTGCGTCACTGTGGACACCTCCGATCCTCCTGAGAAACGGTACGAAGCCGCCATGCAGAAGGTTCTTGAGTGGATAGCTTTGGAAGGGAGCAAGCATTGCAATCACACATGCTCCTTGTGTATCCGAGTGGTTCCACTGGCAGAAGATGGCATTGAACCGAAGCTGGGCTGTACATGCGACTCCTTCCCTTCCCTTCCCCTTCCGTCACCCAAAACTAAATATTGAAGCTTGCCCTCATTTTGTTTATTCAGACATTCGTGCAGTGGTGACCGATGGAATTACCATTGGTCACTGGCGATGCACTGCGACCTTGGCACAATTGCGCGAAATCGCCACGAAAGATGGACTGCCCCCTCCCAGAGGGCCGTGCACCAACTCCTTAGACCGAGTCAAAGATAGATTCTGCTTGTATCATCAAGAAAGACTAGGACGAAAATGCCAAGCTCAGCCGTGCCCAAAAGATTCAATTGAAGGAAGTGCGACTTGTGAAGATCACCTCAGGGCCTATTCAAAATTCAAGGATCGAGTCACCGGAAATTTCTCTCTGACTTCAATGCTTCACCGGCCTGGATCTAACCGGCCATCTGACCCTACTGTCCACCAAGACTGGAATACTGCCGAGCTTGTGGATCTAGAGGACATCCAACAAGGCGACGAGGGTGATCGTGCCCATGAGCAGGGTCGTGACGGCGGCGATGGCCAGAAGAAAGGAGATCATGTGTGCCTCTCACGCAGCCGCACTCACAATGATCAACTCATTGTGAGTACGTGTGGTATCATTCTAGCACGCAAAACTTTCTTTCACTCAGAAAGTGTCAGTGCTGTCCGCGTCAGTCGTCTCCTTCTTTCATCAAGTATATCACGCACTGACATGAATAGAATTGCGACGGTAGGACCTTCTCCTGAGGACATTTCCGCAACAGATGCCGCAGGTCTGCTTTTACGACAACGCTTGTAAGCTTGTCAATCACATATACCACGGCGGAGACGACTACCAGCCGTTCTTGAACACCGTTTTTCCGGTGGACCCCTTCCATTTCCGAGGACACAAGGCCAGCAACGATTTTTGCCAAAATTATACCGACCCCAAGCTGTTTCCAGAACTTCAAGAAGACGGCAGTTGGGTTTTCAACTCTTCGGCAGCTGAGATGACTAATGTTTGGTATGGGGGTTTTGCATCACTGGCGCGAAGCATGTCTGCGGTCAGGTTTAACTTCATGATGGAGGACATGATTGATAGGAGGAACAAATGGCTGATCCAAAGACTGGCTAAAAGACCAAACATCTCCTTCTTGGGTAACATCGTCCTCTAATACTCAATAATGTTGATCTGTTCAGTTGTAACGGTGTTGCTCTCTTCTGTCACCTTTTGAATAATTGTGACGTTTTGAAATTGTTTATGACTGGGTGCAATTAATCAAAAGATTACTGTTCTTTGCCTGGTTAACCTGCCCTTAGGCCAAAGATTTCCTTCGAGTACAAAAAGATCACATCTTTTTGTTTCGCACTAACTGTTCCGAGGTAACGTGGTCTGAACTCAAATGAAGTAAGTGCGGTGGTCACTTCAATGGCATTTACCACTCAAAGACATGGGCACAATGGGAGGGGGCGTTGCCAACTCTGATGAAGGAAAAAACATGTTGGATTTGATTATGTCGAACAACAGAGCACAACAGGAGATGAGGCCACAAATCAAGGTTTGGAAAAAACATGTTGGATTTGATTATGTCGAACAACAGAGCACAACAGGAGATGAGGCCACAATTAAAGGTTTGAAGATCAGGGGGCGGATACAAGAGGTTTATGTCTGGGTTTGCAAACTGCAATCAAAACTCCTCGCTGGAGCTTCGGCTGGCGCTTGGTGTTGGAAGGCTAGGGTACGTGGGCAAGTCATCTAGCATTCAACAGAATTTACCACATACGTGCTCACGAGGAAAGCGGTTGATAGCCGCACGCCAAAAATTGCCAATGGTCCATGGATATCTGGAGGACATTGGAATAGATAATGTCAGCCACAAGGTTTGATCACGGGGGCAGAGGAGCCGCACAAACGTCATATCATGTACCACTGCCTCAGTGATGATGGGACCAACCCCCTGAAATCCACCTATGATGCTTGTGTGCTCACTGCGCTCATAAGACCAGTGTGAGAAAGCGGAAAGCAACAGACGGATCGGGCCCGATAGCCGGTGGTGGTGAGGAGTGGACAAATTGGGAAAGAAAGCATTGTCCAGAGTGTACATCTCTCGCGGTCCTTCCAGTAGCTCTTCGGCGGTGAAGGCGCGTATGTTGGAATGTGCGACAGGGACGGAATGCGCTCCCTCGTGCATCAGGCCAACTAGGTTCTCCTGGAACTAAGTGCACCTTTTCAATGAGTTCAAACGTAAGGCGAGGGTTTCAGGGAGGTTGTGTAAAGACAAAGATGCTTACTCGCAAAGCTAGTAGACTTTCCCACTTGGCGTCTGTGGTGTTCAGCATGGTCATCCGGTCAGAAATTTCGTCACGGAATCGAGTGATTTGTACAGCAACGTGCAAGTATGTTTGCGCGATGCCAATATACGTCGAAAGGGGTCGATCGTTTTGGTGGAAAACGCGAACACCAACCGATGTGCCGATTGGACCGGGTGAGTACTGCTTTGAAGGTCCCCCGGAAGTCCCACTGGTGTAAGAATTGGTTGGAAATGGCAATTTGAGCTTGGCAGCCGTGGAAGGTCCACGTGGTGATATCATCAATCATAACACATTGAACTGCGAAAACAGTCACATTGGGGTCTGGAACAGCACTCGATAACAGCGGGGGGTTATGTTGGACGACAGGCAGTGTGTGATCGCCAAACGCGCGGGTGTCCACATCCTCTGGAAGGTGTTGCAAAATGTTCACTTAAAAGAAAAGTTATCAGTTTGTCGTCAATGGGTGAGCGCGATCAAAGGGCAAAACATACCCATTCCACAAACAGAATGCAATGTCAGTTCGGGTGTCAAATCGGACGCAGGGCTGGGCATCGCCTGGGTGTCCGCCGTGGCAGGAACATGAGGCGGAAGAGTATTGATGGGCAATAGAATGCCCACAGAATTGGTGGACTCAGCGCTCTCACTACCTGTGTCTGAGTGATTGTCGGTTTCCATGATTGTACTACGTTGGCATGAAAGAGCGTGACCAAAAAAGGGTGCGTGAGTGATATGGTAGTAAACAAAGGTTTTGAAGATGACAACGTGACGTGAAGATAACGATAACGGCATTTTTGGACGCAGCTTATAAAATGATAAACAAGGGAAGATTTCGGACAGGGAAACATAGAGAGGCACACGTACACTCCAAAGGTTCTTGGTGATCTGGCAGCTTGAAGACGCAGCGATGAAGGCCAATTGACCACGAGATATATATCTTTATTGGCCGCCTGACATCCTTGATTGAGCACTGAGACTGGCACCTGGCTGCCCCGTCTAGACTAAGGGACAGTGCTAACATTCTTCTTCACGCCATCACATTGCACACTGAGGTTTGACATTCTTGGTCGGTCGCGCGAAGTCCGTAGTATGTATGCATTGTTCATTGTCCTTGAGGTCCTCCTTCCTCCTCCTGGCCACCGACCTTTGTAGACCTCGGGGTTCATCGATTCGGTAGGTGCCTAAAAGGAATTTTCATTCCAGGGTGGTAGTTAGTTCAATCCCCAATGGTGACTGTAAACTGTGTCAAACTTACATTGTTGGGTGGTTTGATCTTGAGAAAGGGATCAATTTGAATACCTCCGGCACTATATACAAGCGAGAATCTTTGCGTCACACGAAGCATGATTGGAAGGCGCCTGTTGGTGGGACCAAGGACATTGATGCAGGGTGGGTCTTTCGTCAATGCTTCCTGCTGTCACAATCGTTCATTCATCTGACATTAGGACACAAACAGGCGTGCAAACAGCCTACATTAGGCTTCGGTTGAAGATTCTCAAGATCCACCTTCACAACCAAACTCTTCTGTACTAATCGTGCTGTTTTAGGCGAGGCCCCCTGCGAAGCTGTCAAATGAAAAGAAGTGCAATTCAGGGGCTAAGGAACGATCAAACCGAGTGAACCGAGCCGAGGAAACCAGACTGGTACATGCACAAGATGCGTGGCACAACCGGGCTGAGTACCCGGAAGCGAGCGTGTTGAGCTGATTGACCAGAGCCGAAGCGGCAAAATGAGTCACACTTTGATGGATTGATTGTCGCGTCTGCACATACCATACAGCAGGCCGATACAGATATGGCATACAATCAATTTGGTAGAGGGCACTTCTTTTGGGGATGAGAGGTCACAGATGACATGTTTGTAGTCAGTCCCAACACAGATAGGAAAAGACCATGCCTGTAGGTCAGTGGGAAGGAATCATTCACCCAGTTTTCTTTTGCGGACAGCTGGACGTGGGGAAGAGGTGCTGGCGGGCTGAGTGGTTGGACATCCAGCAAGTATATACTCTTGACGAAATCTTTTCCGAGCAGTGCGAATGGAGATTGACTCAAATGCCTGCTGGGTGACCCATTCTTCTGACTGGCCTTCAGTGATGAACCCGATCCACCGGGCATGTCGATAGATAGTGCGGTCCTTCTTGAGATAACAAGATCCATAGCACACGTCCCATGCTGTCAGTACAGTCATCTCCTCGGTAAGCTTGCTCCATTCAACAAGTCCACCAAAAGAGGAGTCCAGGTCAGGCCAAGCTGCCAACATTGGCAGTCCCAATGTGCTCGCCGGTGTGGCTGGGCGTTTATCGCTCTGGGAAGTCTGGGGGACACCACTCTTGTCAGAAGGAATCTTGATCGTGTATTCAAAACAATAACTGACCATTACCGCGCGGGTCAAATCAGGGTGAATTGTGGATTGGCCAAATAATGAGATTTCATCTGGCTCTGCCGCAGGTTGACCGTGACTGGTCAGAATGGGGTCGATTGTCGGGGGCGTTTGAAATCGAGATTCGCCTGCTGGACGAAGTGTCATGGAAGCCGGGGGAGAGTCCGCCGCGTTTGGCATAGATGATGTTGAGGCTGACGGATCCATTGAGGTCACGATTGGCTCGCTCTCGTATGCAGAATAGATAAGCTGGTCGAGTCGGGGGCATTCATCCGGCTTGATTCTTTCAGCTTTAACAAAGATCTCGCGAGGTGAAATTGGCAGCCGGGAGGGGATTTCAACAGAGACTGTACGCTGGAGTGATTCAATGTAATAAGGAGTTTCAGCGATGGGCGGAATCGGCTTTCCGAGGTAGGAATCGAGATTCTTACCCATCCCTCCAACTTAGGCTCCCAAAAACAGAGCGTTCGAGACCATGCGGGTCCATCAGAGAGCCCGGCTAAGAGAGCAGCTTCGCTGACGAGGGGTTGGCACTGCTGCAGAGTAAAGGACGGCCATTTTGGGGCAATGAAGCTGAAGAACTTTGGGGGTTGTCCGGCCTGGGATATGGCATATGCAAAACAAACCTGAGTACTGGAAAACGGAGGGTTGAAAATAACAAAAGATGAAGAGTCACACCTGGAGCCACGCGGTTACGTGCACTACTTTGCTCTCGTCGGCATCGAAAGATTTCATCTGAGATATGGCCTGTTCTCTTGCGGATCGGATATCAATGAAACAGGCTAGTTGAGGGGTGTTGAACTCGCGAGCTAGTCGCCCTCCGGCTTGTGCACTCTGAGTTGGAATGCGCCGGTGAGTAGGGAGGGCATGTGGCCCCGGGGTGATAGGTCCTTGGTTGGGCCCTTCGTGATCGCCAAGGTTGATATGAGACGCGGGCAAAGATACACCTTGCAGAAACGCGGTCATATCGACTGAGGTTGCAGCCCCACCGCGGTTCAAGAAAGGGTGAGATGCGTCCACTGTATTAGGAATAGGGTCTGGTTTCCGATGGCCTTTGGCAGTGCAGGGCTGGTCCGCAAGCGTTTGACAGCACTATACATTGTTCACGTTCAAGTATAAGCGAACTAACGGTTAGAACGAACTTGGGTTTAGGAACGTTGGTTGATAGTGAGGGCGACAGTGGGTCTGTGATTCCAATACTAACTGAGGCGCATGCTTGGAAAACACATTGCTTGTTTCCTTTCCGACCATCTCCAATTCGATGTGTGGGGCCCGTCTGGCCTTTCACTCCGGCGCAAACAATTGAAGGCTCCGCAGGTATCACATTGGAAGTAGTTGAAGGCAACGGTTTGAACAGTTTATTTAGCAGCTGTTGGCTGGACGTGATAAGGCCTGGAACCACAGGCCCTGACGAGGGCGGGGGCGCTGAGTTATTGGAAAACGGGGTAGCCGGCCAGTTCCCCGCGTTAATCGAGGCAATCTCATGATGTAGTTGTGCATTGTTCCAAGTGCGATACCAGTGGCCGGCCTGGCCACGTGGTGGCATAATTCCGCACTAGTGGTACAAATATAAGGTTAACATCGTCAGTGCGGTCAAGACGATAATCCGGCTTGGTGAGGTTATTCATTTTGAATGGAGGTAATGGTTCGACTGACGGCGACTCGCCAAGCGGTGGGTAACCTATTGATATACTTCAAAGGGGTCGTCTTATTCTGGGCGTTGCAAGCGGGGCAGGCTATGCCAACCAGGCCTCTGATTGACGGTTGGGGAAGTGGTGTGTTAGTAGGCAGCCGTTGGAATTCGCGTTTGATGAAGTTTGAATCCATTTGGTACAATTCATATGTAAGACGAATAAAAGTGTGAGGGTGGAGACGGAGGGTAACGGCACGGCAGAGGTGACGGGGGGAAAGCGTGAAACGGTGAAACCCCTCATGTGGAACGTCAGGAGTTTGAAGGCGGTGAAAGGCGCAATGGGGTGTCAGTGCTCATGTTGGGGAGGTAAAATGGCGTGTGAAATGGCGAGCAAGCGCTGTCACAGAGGTGTGAAACGTGGAGGCAAGGGGTGTATATCTGGCACTGGCACAGGTGCCAGTAATCTCCCGAAGGCCGGGTGTTCCCGTACATTGCTATTGCTTTGAAAACTGAAGGATTATTGAAGATTGATGTCTTGAGAAGTGTGAGGTTGAGAGGCTTTAAGGCTTTAAGGCTTTCTTGCAATTGTCAGCGGATCTGTGACATGTTAGTAGAGGATGTTCTACACTTTTGATGCCTTCTTGGTATTTGCAACCAAGGTCTACCTGTTGCTTGAACTTATATATGTAATAGTTTAGATAAACGTGCCCTGACCTAGGGCTGCGACCCGGACCCGGACCCGTCCGGCCGAGTCTGCCCGGCGACCTCTGGAGAGCTCGCGGTCCGCGCCCCGGGGCCGCAGAACGTCACGTGTTTTACTTACAAAGGCGCCCTGAGAGCGCTCGGGCGGGCCGGGCACCGGGGCTGCCAATCATCCCAAGCTGTACAACTCATGATTTTTGTGCCCAAAACCTAAGCCTGACTCTGCCTGGCCCCTAGGCCTCAAGTTCAGGGCGCGCCCTGCCTGGCCCTGAACCATTTTTGAAGGCCCTTGGGTTTCCTCGCGGCCGGGCCGCGCCCCGGGTCCGGCCCTGAACTTTCAGGGCCGGGTCACAGCCCTACCCTGACCTTAGTTGTGTTATTGCCGTGATTTTGTGTTTGTTGAGGCATGAGATGCTCTTGAGGTGTTTTGAGGATTGCAGGTGGAGGATTGGGGTTCATGACCTAAACACTTCCTCTCTTCATGTGTGATAATTATGGTATTTTTTGTTCTTCATTCCTTGATGGTGGTGATAAAACTTGATATGTTTTGTGTGAATCTGAAGGTTTTGGTTAGTTTTGTTCTTGACTTCTTGTTTGCTATTTCATTGACTGTTGTGTTTCTGCAGACTCCTGAATGGCCTGGTCACCACCTGATTGTGATGTGTAGGTCTGGGAAGGGGTGGTATCAGTGTTCTTACGGTCATCTAAGTTTGTGATTGGTAATTTGTTTGAACAAAGTCTTTAATGACTCCTTGATTGTCCAACAGGATTGTTGGCCTTTGAGTGTGAGGAGAGGCTGTTTGGAGCGCTAAGATGAGGCCCATCTGGACTCCTTGGTATTCACCTTGGAAAATACCATGTGGAAGTGCTGGTCCTAGATGTGCAGATAGGGATTAGTTAGTCTTTTTACATCATGCTGCTGCTGCAGTGCTGCATTTAGGGATACATGAGCCATCCATGAAGATGATCATGTGGTCAAGGGTGACTGTGAGTCTGTAATTAGCTTTGGTCTTAGCAATGTTTTCATTGTCTTGAATCACTGTTGAGTAGTTGTTGGGCCTTATAAGCTTGTCAATGGGGTCAAGTGGGATTTGTTGAATAAATTCTTCTAATTCCTTGCTGACTGGTTGTTGGAAGCAGCAGTGATAGGGGTTGTGATGGCCTTCAATTGTGGATCTTGTTTGCCATAGGTTTGCCAGCTTGCCTCATGTTGCCCTTGTTGGAACCAAGTTTCTGTTATAAGATTTCATTGTGTTGCGTAGGATGAATTACAATTACATATTAAAATAAACTTGTACAATGTCTGATACTCAATACATTTTGTTTCTAAACCTAACCTTGTTTTGTATCGGCAGATCTAGTATATCAAACTTGTCTCTCGAGAAAACTTCTTACTTCTTCTTCATCAATCTTAGAAGTTTTCTCACACAACAAACATCATCTCCAAATAACCTCTCCGGACCATCACTGTCCCTCCTAGTTTATCTGACTGATATTTGTTGTTGTTTGATCTTGATCAGGGATCTGAGATCCCAATAGGTTATGAGCCCAGGCTTACAGCTTTAAACGATTCTCAATACTCAACGATAGTAGATTAAAGTTATAAATACGATCTCTTGGCACGAGAAACCGTCTAATTTAAACTTGAAATACTTTTAATCGAACCTGGTATTGTTCCAGATTCTTCCGATAATTGAATTAGGCATTCGAATCTTTCATTTCGAAGTCCGGAGAACCATAATACCTCAATTCAATTGTCAAACCTTAGTGATACAGTCTTAACCCCACGAAAACTATATCACTCTGGATCCGACAGAACCTACAGATCCCAGTCAATCTGACCAACCCACCCTCCCAAACTCAACTGTCGATCCTGAACCAAACAATCCGTCGATCTCTACCCCACATACAGAGTCGAAGGAAGCCGTGACGCCTCCTGTCATGTCTTCCAACGCCAACGTTTCGCACTCTTCACTTCTACTAGCACAAATACCGAAGCTCAACCACACCAACAAGGTTGATTGGGTACTTGGAATCAAAACGTACCTGAAGAGTCGCAAACTTTGGAAACACGTAGAACGCGACACCTCCCTATCTGAGACCGATGCGAAAGATTTCGATAAGGTCGAGCAGCTCGAAGCTGAACGCGCGTCTGTTCTAGAAGTCATTAGATGCACGGTTGAGCCTACTCGCTTACCTGCTATTTGGGGAATCGAAGACCCCAAGAAAGCATATGAGCTTTTACATGCCCAAGCTTCTCAAGACGACGGCTTGGAAGTGGCTGCACTCATAGCCAAAGTTGCTACCGTACGCTTTAACGGTTCCGAAACGATTTCCACCTTCCTTGATGGGATCAGTGATCTACATACACAAATCGCAGAGGCCACTGCAAGTGATGATGATCTGAAGATTAGCAACAAGCTTTTAGCTGTTTTCCTTCTTCTAAGTTTTCCAAGCGATCAATTTGCAACGATTCGAGATCAAATGTTTGGAGATATGAAGAATCTCACAACATCGAAAGTCGTATCCCGTCTACGAACGAAGTCTGCTCTCAGCACAGTTGATGAGAACCCAATAGCCATGGCTGCTTCGATCAAGCATCCGCCTGCTCCAGCTCATCGTCTGACAATCCCTCGTACCGATAAATCCCCCAATGCACCTTGTGTTCTACAAGAGCACTGGCAGTTCACGCACACTAACGGTGTATGCATGAAGCAGAGGCGAAACCGTGGTCCAACTCGACCAATGAATAGTAGTCAGCCATCATCCAACCAAGGGCTTACTGATTCAGAGAAGATACGAAGGTATAATCAGCTCGCAGCTGTTGGAGTTGTCGGGTTTAATACCGAAGCTTCATCTCAACCGACTCAGGCGACTACTCCGACACCGAGTACTGCAGCCCCTGTTCCGAATCATACCAGTGAAGCGGCATGCCAGTTTGCGACATCCTACAATACAATTGCGACACCGGTAATCGACGAGGTCTCATTCGTTGCTTCACCAAGCTATCCATCTCCATCTGACACTCACAAAGCCACGCTAGCCGACACTGCTTGCAACAGGCACATGTTTGGAGACGCGCTGATGCTTGATGATCTACGTGATGTTGCTCCAGTATGGATTAATGTGGCAAATGCCGATAACTCGTCCCGCATTGTTGCCACCAAGATGGGTACGGCAAAGCTTCACGCTTTTGGACCGGATGGATCGCCTTCTCTTGTTGAAATACCCAACGTTCTTTACTCACCGTCTCTTCCTGCAAACCTCATTTCGGTCACTGAGCTATACGAATCTGGGTTCAAGATGGTTGATCCACACTATGGCACAAACACCAATGATCTCAACATGTATTTCTCGAACTCGAAGCACATCCTTCCAGCTTACAAGGATGCCGGTCCCGGTGGATTCTGGAAGTTCTATCATTACTCCGAACCACGTGCGTCTTTCGTCAAGTCATCAAATCCTAACAATACTGACTTATGGCATCAACGGTTTGGTCATCTAAATCACAGGAGTACCTCAAGTGTCATGGAGGATGTCCTACGACTTAATCCGGATGCATTGAAGACTTGCGAAGCCTGCACCTTGGGGAAACAGGCGAGGAGCAGCCATACTGGCGCTTTGCCGAGGTCTGAAATCCCTGGTTATCGGGTGCATTGTGATCTCGCAGGTCCATTTCCTGCTGCAAGTACTGGAGGTTATCTTTACACTATGGTACTTATAGATGATGCTACTCGCAAAAATTGGGTTATACTTCTTAAAACAAAACCTCAGGCGTTTGAGGCCTTTAAACAATTTCATTCAATGCTTTCAAATCATGCTCCTAATAATAAAATTTCTGTGTTCAAAACCGACCGAGGTGGAGAATTTACAAGTAATGAATTCAATCAATATCTTCGTGAAAATGGCATAGTGCATGAAATGGGCCCACCTGAGAGTCCTGAACAAAACTCTGTAGTGGAGCGTTTCAACAGGACTGCTGCTTCACGCCTACGAGCTCAGCTTATACACGGCAATCTGCCTGTTCGTCTTTGGGGTGAGGTAATGATGGCGACATCATTTGTTCTCAACCTGTGTCCCTCCAAATCTGTAAAGTTCAACTGTCCCGAATATGCGTGGCAGACGCTTGCGCTCAACATGAAAGTGCCTAACCTCCCGTACAACCGACTAAGGGTCATTGGTTGCTTAGCGTACTCCATTCCACCTGGTCATCAAAACAAACTGATTCCACGTTCAATAAAGACGATAATGGTAGGGTACGAGAAGAATTCAAACGCGTATCGGCTCTGGGATCCGAAATCCAATCGCATCATGATTTCCAATGACGTGATATTTGATGAAGGTTCTTTTCCCCTTCGGCATCTTGACAAGTCGACAACGGAAGAACTGACGATTCTAAATGATGATTCATGGGATGAAGTCTGGGATATTCCTACCTCATCACAATCGACCACTGACGCAATTCATGACTTTCTGCAAATCCCTACTCCTC